TACCTTCTTCAAGGAGTACAGTAAAATCTCTTTTATGTCTAGTCTGTTGGATGCATTTACTGCTCTCCTTCCCCTGGTGTCCAAGGGTCCTTCACTTAGCACATGAGATGCGCTGACTGTAACGATGTGGGTGAAAATGTGTAAAATCCATCCTGCGTGAGTCGTATTGATTCTCAGGTGTTGCTGTGACAAAGCCGAGGAGACCGGGGTGATCGCGGACGCTGGTCATGGGGTGGTGCACCCTGCTCTTGGGCTTCTGAGCCCCCCCTCCCGCATCAGCCACCAACCCAAACCGCCTCAAGACAACAACATCTTTCCACAGGCTGCAAATGAACAGCTAAGCCTCCTCCGCTGCTGTTTGGTGAGAATAATGTTTTGAGAGGACTCGCGACGCTCCCGAGCCTGCGGCCGCTGCACTGCCGTGGGAGCGCTCTCTGGGAGCAAAACAGCACGGACACCAACCTGCAGCCTTCATTACACGGGCCTTCGATTTACTGCAAGTGCTAGCTCATGCTGATGTGTAAAGTGCTAAAATCCTTGCCTGCGTAAGCACTGCAGACACGCAGGTGAGCTGCTGAACTGTATAGTCCCTTGCGGGAGGGGGGGCGTAGCAATCACATATTTTCAGTACAATGAGCGCAGCTGAGTGCTAAGCTGAGTGCAGGTCCAGGCTTTGGCTTGCTGCAGATCCGTTTGGGACCTGAAGACGGGCTGCTGTGGCTGTTTTGATTAAATGCATAATCTCTTCCTGCAAGCCCGGTTGAGTGAACGCCCTCATTGTTTGGTCCCACGGTTTGCTGAGGACTTGGCACGGGAGCGAGCCGGGAGGTGGAAATCCCCGCAGCCCTACCTGGGCGTAAATAGCCTCCACCGGGCACGCGGGGACAAGCTCTGCCGGGGCCGGGGAGGTGTGAAAGCGTAACCCCGCGGCCCGGCAGAGCCAGACGCTTGGGCTCTTAGTGCTAATTTTTCATCTTTCCTCCCTTCCCGTCTTCCCACAGAGGGAAGTTCCCCAGACGGGGAGACACCGGTCGGGACAAGGATTAGGCATTAACAGGAAAACCGTCTTCTGCTTTAACTTGTGTTTTTCATCTGGAAAACGTAACTGCAACATTCAGTTACGGATCCTGCTACGTATTAACTTTTAATGCTTTCTGAGTCAAATACGGTTTGTTTAGAAGTAGCCAGATCTTGGGTGCTCTCCCAGCTGCGGCCCTGGGAGCGCGCAGACCCGGCGTCACGCTGAGTTGCTCCGAGTCGCGCACCGGCACCAGAGGCAGAGAGCCCGAGCTCACCCCCCCGTCCTCCCCTGGCTGCGGTCTAGCAAACAGGGCTGCAGACCGTGGGCGAGGAGGAAGAGCACCCAGCGGCGCTGGTGCTGCAGGAGCGCTGCGCGAACAGCCAACGGCTTGCTTTTGCCAACTCAGGAGAGGCCGGGAGGGCAGACAAAAAAATAATCTCTGCTCAGGATGAAGACGCATTTCAAAGTGACACTGAAAAAGCGATTTAAGACTGGAATTTTGCATTGTGAAGTAGAGGCCCGAAGAGATGGGGATGGGTGGCTGGTGTCGGTAAACGTCCCTCTCTGCCTCAAAGCCCCAGGCTAACCTTTTTTTGGTTGTTGTTTTTAACTTAAACTCAGGCACTCCCATGGAAACTCAGTCGCATGAGACGATCGCTAGCCCAAAAAAACGAGAATGCGACGCTCATGAAAATAGATGGCCTGGGCCCAAATTCCTGCCGAAAGCAGCATCGCGCGGAGAATTGAAAGTGAGAGCAAGAGCCGGGGTGGTTATTTCTGTTTTCGTCCAGCCCCACCTTAAGTCACCTTTCTCCGCGCACGTAACATCATCGCCCTGGACAGCAGATATGTAAACTGCCAATCTTTAGCCAGTCAGGCAGGTTTCTTAAGGCACCCTGTGTATATGTTAACTGCTGCGTGGTTTAACTGTTAAACAGCAGTGCACAACGTGCTGTCGGGTTGCCTGAAGTCCGAGCAGATCGTGGGGGACCAGAACGAAAAAGCTGCTTTCTCAATACCTTACAGCGAGTGCGTAACAGCAAACGCTCTCTGCCCTCCCTTCGTGTCCACCCTGTGGACAAAAGCAGGATTTTAGATGCACTGGCAGGATGTTTTGGAAGTTTGGTAAGCTTTATGCCACCTTTGCAGAGGAAGCGGAGGTGCAAAATGGAAATGCAGATGTTTTCAGTGCCCGGACGGGCACCGGGTCACCAGGCACAGCATCTCCCCGCTGCGTGTGGGAGGGCAGAGAGCCCTTCTGCCTCCTGCTTCTGCACGCTTTTCAGCATGGTTTTACCCCAAGAAACAGGTTTGAGGGGAAAAAAAAAAAAGAAAAAAAAAAAAGAAAAATCCTCCACAGTAGATGATAGAGCCGTTTCTTTGCTGAGCTTTTCTTACTTCCCAGGGCTTCACACCCCAACTCGCATTTGTATTGCAGGGACGAAAGGGCGGGAGCAGACAACGGGGCGGGCTGCTAGCACAAGGCGCCTGCGGGCACGTGGCAGGATGGCGGAAAAAAACCATCAAAGGTAACTCATCTGCGTCTAAAATGACCCAAACCTCAACTCTGGACTGTGAAAGATGTTGCCTTCCACGGGCCGCGAGCGAGCGGCGGGTGCAGGACGGCTTCGCCAGGCCCCGTCCTCCCCGCGCGCAGCAGGAGGGTGCCCGCGGCCTTGCAAACGTCGCTGCTTAGTTACTGAGCTGCCCGGCGCATGGAAAGGAGCAGAAATACAGGGGTGATAGCATCCCTACTCGTGGGCAGAGCAGACGTGCGCAGGCATGCCCTCCGCGCGCCCCAGGGCAGCGCCCTCACCCTGGCCACTCTGCAAAACCCCAGCTGACCGCCGCTTGCTCTCCTGGGGAAAGGCTTATGGTGCGCCGAGCAGAGAGAGTGAATTGTGCTGCCCTGAAAAGCCGTTTCTGCAGGAAATCTGCAATTCTTGCAATTCTGCCAGCCGTTCCGTTGCAAGAAAGCTCAGGCTAACCTCAGGCTAGCACGAATTGTTACGCTTTGTCCGTGCATGACTTCAGGAGGCAGGGACTGGGCTGCCACAGATGTTTCGGTGCAGTCCCACCATCATGCTTCCATTTGTATATTGTCTTTTTACAAACACGCTGGATCTTTTTCAAGTCGGTCTTTGTTTTAAACGCTCCCTCTGCTGGCAATTTTGTGCATTATTAATTTTTAATTGAAAGCCTGAGACTAAAAATCAATTGCAATGAAATTACTGGGTTAATGGTAAAAATTTCCCATTTTTTTCCTTCACCATACTTTGAAGCCCACATCTCAGTTGCACAGAGTATATTGCACAGGTAGTCACAGTGTTTGCGGGCGAGGTAATTTTCTGATAGCTTAATTATTATTGCTATTTTAAAACTCCTGATATAAAATGCAGACTTTGTCTCTCTTACCAAACCTTGCTTCTCCTGTATCCCTGGACTGCCTTATGTTTGGAAGTGCTGTGGTTTGTAGAAATTATGCCTCAGAAAAGAGCAAAGTGGTTATGATGGAAATATTTAATTTTCTATTGTTCATATAAAACAGAAAGAGTTATTAAAAATATAAGCTTCCATAAAACTAGTTTTAGGGGAACCACTGTAGGGTTTCTCTTTTGTTTTCTTTTCCCCTGTCTTCTTGTTGAATAGCCGGCAAACACTTTAAAACACTGCAGGAAATCACGGTGAAAAATTATTACATTTACACAATTTACATTAGGAGTAAGACTCAGTCTCAAGAGATGTTAATGATGTGCTGCCCACTATTTAAACAACTTTTATGAAAGAAACGCCACTGGTCTAATGCCAGAAAAAAAAGGAACTAAAAGCAAGCAGAAAATGTGTGCCTCTCCTGGGGATGAGCGAGGATGTAATTACATTCTGAATTTTAAGCCCACGAAAACCTGTGGTCAGGTTTTTAGACCGAAGCACTGCAGGACGATACGATGTTCCAGCTATAGGTCAGATTTCTTTTTTAACAACTGTTTCTTGTGTATGAAGTCCTTGACCTGTCGATGCTTGAATTACGTTGCACCGCGTAATCCTCTAATACCAACCTGAAGGTGCTGGCGCGCATTTTGTGCCGGGTACTCTGTTAACACACTCTGTTAACACAGACACTTGGGTGTCTGCTCAGGGTCTGTGCAAGCGCGGTGCAGACGGCAGCGCGGGTCCTCCCACCCTTCCCCGGCGCCGCGCCGCACGCCGGAGGGGCAGCGTGGGCTCAGCTGCACCGCACGCCGCGTTAGCCCTGCCAAGATATATATATATATATAAAAGTGTATATGTAGATCACTCCTGCTGATTTAATTTAGGCTTATAAGGCACTTGAAGCCTTTTTGCCCCCTTACAAATTTATTTTTTTTTCTCAGGGAAAAAAGCTTTGTATTGAAAGTCACCGTACCCTGCTGGACAAAAAGGTAATCCCACGCATTAAGATACTTCAAAAGTAATGCTGCTGTGATCATTAATAGATGAGAAAGCACGGGAAAAAGATGGGTAGGAGGTCACAAATAAAGAAATAATGTGGAAGGGAGGTAAATGCGAATGAAAATGCAACTAGGATTTCAGCCATGTAAAACTTATTTCATGGAGGGGAAAAAAAAAATCTGTAAGCATGCTAAAAAAACCTTCTCAGTTTATAGAGCAGAGTGGAGAACACAAGATCTGTCTATCTGGAGAGAGGGAACAGCACTAGTGCATTTATGGGCCATTATCCAACACAAGTAAATGTAACCAATATTAATCATTTGACAGAAATCACTAACAGAACACTGACACACAGGCAAGGTTTCCTGCTTTGAAAACAAACATTTTGGCTTTGATTCAGCATTTCTTTAGGAACTCTGAGGTCTCCTGAGGCAATGTTTTGTTACACTGACCGCTGCTAAGTGAAAACTTTTCAAATTGGAAACAGCATATTGAACATCTAGGAAAAAAAAAAAAAAGCAATGGTCCTGGAAAAAAAAAAGTTCACAGATATATTTCACTTCATTTATTTGTTCTTCATTTTGTATAGCACGCTTACATCACACTTGCTAATTAGGTCTTACAAGATGTTTCCCCTGTTTTGGAAAAGAAGCAAAAAGCAGTCATGTGTAAGATACTGAATGCATTCACATACGTTATGTTGTACTTTGGGTTCTTGAGCATCTTCATAAATAAGAGAACATTAAACCAGTTGGAATTTTAACAGCATTGCTACTTGCATATCATAGCAGCTTAAAAGGTTTAAACTAGATTAATCTACTTTCTTTTTAATTTCAAAAAGGTTTTAATAAAGTTTAGTAAGAGATTAAAATTATACCCACAACGCACCTAATTAGAAAAACATAAAGAGGCCCAAACACTACAAAACAGTGTTTTAAAGATAAAACATTTCTTTTTAGTTTGTAGCTATTAAAACCCGCAACGGCCTTTCTCCTTTAGGTAGGGATATAATTTTGCAACTACATAGATGAAGGTTAGGCATTTCAAGTTATTAGTGATTTTTTTTTTATGCACCATGAAACATCTTTAAAGACATCAGAGGTTGCGCAGATCCTGAACACCCATCCTTTAAGAGGTTCTAAGCTAGACAGACAAAATCTCCATTTATTTCAGCAAGTATTGGCCAAATCACTGGGGAACTGCTAATGCAGTTCCCAGATTGTGAAAGTAGGATTCAAATGACTACTGATTCTGTTATGTGAACTTTTTTTGCTTTCAAGGCCATCAAGAACAAGACATTTTTGCTATGGATGGATGAAGGCTATACAGGAGTAGGAATAGAGGTAGGAGTATTAGGAAAAAAAGCTATCATCAAAAGGTAGTTCCCATGCTTACTGATTTAACCAAAAATAAACAGACGAATTCTTGAGTATCTTCTTCTAGAAGACTTCTTTTTAAGGTAAATATGCATCTGTTACAGATATTTGAGCTGATCCTACAGTGTGTTAAGCGCCCTCAACTCCTTTTGGAAATAACTAAGGAATGAAGGTGCTAGGTATGCCCAAATAAACACTTCAGAAGATGTGGGACTCTGTTCAAATGAGGATCATTTAAACAAAGAAAAAGAACAAATTGAGGTATTGTAACACGCATTAATCTTAACCTTTTGCTAGCAGACATCAGATTTGTGTAACAATGCCTGCCAGGCCAAATTGAGCTCTCAGCTGAGTTAGCGCTCTGTTTCTGGGAGCTTACAGCAGTTCAACTGAAAAATAATGATAAACTTTGAACTTTGGTCACCGGGACTGTGTGCAAAAAAGAGAACAAGAAAAGTACGACTAATGATGAGACTGTGACTAAGGCTTACGTGAAGGTTTACACTGCATTTTAAGCACGTGTCTTGTGCTGCTATAAAGAACAAAGTCTTTTTATAGCTGTAAATCAGACCTCCTTTCTTATGTTACAGGATGTCACATATCTTTCCCGCTATCGTGTACTTAAACCATATAGCTGCACGATAAAAGTAGTACAGAGATTTTGATAAACAAGTTCGTACTGTAACATCTCATCCAAGTTGTGCTGCCATCTTGGGTGTCACTTCAAGCTGGTGATGACTCAATATATACATTCAATCCAGTTATATACTTACTAACGTTTCTTGTGCCAAGACTTTAATGTGCTTCAGTGCATGAAGGAAATTTACAGCCAACGCCAGGAATATATATTCCAGCTCTCCATTTCCTTTCACTTAAAAAAAACCATAGCGGTAATTATATTATAGTTTCATAGCAGATATTTATAACTGAGCCATAAACAAATGCTGACCTAAAGCTTTGCAGGCAGCTCTCAGGAAAACTTTATTATTATAGAATTGATAGCAGTATTAACCACTTGGATTTTTCTTCCTCGGTACTACAGTTAATTACTACTATCTTTTAATGACTGCAGGTGCATATAAATTACTTTTTTTTTTTAGCTTTATTCTGGTTTATTCTTTAAGTAGGAGAGCCAATAGGAAGACCATTGTTACAACTCAGAGTCAAAAATTATTTTTACACTAGAAGTCACAGTTTCAAGCCAAGTAAATGGAACTGTTTCCATGCAATGAGATGAGCTTTGGAGCAGGCCGTATTTTAAGACTAGCACTCTGTCTTTTGAATGGACATAATTTTGGTTGATGTTTGTTTTAAGTGTAAATTGTATCTACTGAAGGTGCGTTTATAGCAGAAGGGAAGAAAGAGGGTTTAAATCCAGAAAAAGAGTTTAAATTCTTCTCCAGTGTAGCTTATTTGGATATCTTGGCCAAAACTTGTTCTGATTTAAATTGTCATTCAGTTGATCTAATCCCGCTGAGTCTTTGTAACGATCTAAATGGAAGAAGAATTGGGGCCACTGTTGAAAAAGCTTTAGCTTGTGACCTCCATGTGAACCCATGCTCAGAAATTAGTTTCAGCCTGCATGAGTGAGTCTACATTACGGCCTTGTCCCATTAATACTCCTTCTTAATGCATACAGCCATATTAACATCCTGCTATTTCTGGGAAGCAATGATTCAGCAAAGCCATTTTGGTATTTATCTACTAGAGAGAGTGGACTTCTCTATAAGTATTTTAAATTACAGAAGCCAGTTTGATCTACCAGTGCATTTTTAAAGGATTTTTCGGAACGCTGCCACAAGAAATGCTCCCATGAAATTGCCTTCATCATGATATCACAACAGCCAGAAAGCCCCACTTTAGTGTCCTTTCAGATGAGCCAGACCCAGAAATGAATTAACATCCTAAGAGAACAAGTAGTCTACCAGCACCATCTGTCATGGGGCAAGCTGTTCTGAGCCAGATATTAAAGAATGATGAAAAGTCAAAGGCTAAAGGATCTGCTCAGTGCCTGCCAGTTACTGTAATATCAGTGTGCTTCATTAATGGCTGTGAATTTATCTTCACAGCTCCTTTGTGAGGTAGGAAATTACTACTCCCTCCTACTCCCTCTCTTGCAGAAGAAGAAAGTGAGGCACAAGGAGATTACGCTGTTTTCCTGGGGAAAACAGGAAGTCTGTGGTAAAGCTGAGGGTGAATTTAATCTACTAGTTTTATCATGGCACTGCCATTCTTTCCTCTTTGCCTAGAAACACGGGGCTTTTGACACCACCTTCATTTCTGCAGTCAGTAAACATGCTGGACAATATATACTGTCGTAAGTAGTTTCACTTCCTTATCCTGCTTGCCTGAATTTTAGAGACTGGCTCAAACTGCAGAGATTTGCGGCACAGCAGTCAGATCATCTTACCTAGCATTTTGGTTCACTGTACAAGGGAGACATGGTGGAGCCGCAAAGTTCAGATTTAATTCTTCATAATAGGCTAAAGCCCGCTCCTATTTGCTTGCTTCCCTCCTTCAAGGAAGCATGAAATATAATGAACTAAACATTACAAACACAGAAGGAAGCCAATGAACAAAAGTTCTAATATTAATTACAAACATTAGTGCAAACCACACAGCAGATTATTTTTAGTATTTTCTCTAAGGAGGTCATAAAATTGATGCTTTAAATAAAGTCACATTCTTTAGCCAAATAAGTGGTCAACTTTTGAAACTCGCATAAGCAACCTGGGCTTTGCTGCTACATATAATACTTCATACTACATGTTTATAATGGACACTATAATATTTTTATGGAAAACAGATAGTCCTGTGCTTATTTAAAATATAAATAACTAAAAGGCAATAAAGACCAAATTCCAAAGCTGAATTACATGTTTGGCCAAGAGACTTGTCTAGCATCATCTTAACCACCTAGAAGTAAGAACTATTGTTTTAAATTTAAAATTCTCTTTGTCTGTGTGCCTAAAAGCCAACACCTAAATCCATGCTTAACATCCAAATGCGTGGCTCTGCTGACAAAGGTGAGAGTGCTCACACTTTCTTCGACGTCAAGTGCTTTGCACAGTTGAAAATTAGTTCTCATTATTTACGTATCCAAATGTAGACGTAGGTGTTTGGCTTTATATCACATCATTTGAAAATCATGGCCTTTGTGCCCCATATAAAGGAGCTGAAGCTTTAAAGACTCAGCCAGTTAAGAATGTTTCAGGAATGCTGATCTCCTTGCTCAACATTTGTTCATGTTTGGCAATAGTTTGTGTCATCTGAAAGGAGGGGGGAAAAAAAAAAAACACCCAAAAACTGGAAGTTTGAAAAAGTATTTCACAAAATACTTTGCTGGGCAAGGCCAATAAGGTAGTGAATGTTGTCGTTAGTGGTCTGTAACCCCCCAGTAACTGCAGCTGAACCAATGAAGTCAGATTTTAGGAAAGTGCACTTTTCTGTTTTTTGTTCTTTTGCAACAATGGACACTAGGGCTGCACACCCTGGATCTTCTAGAAAGAGACTCTCTCTTCAGAGGTTTTCATGCAGCCATCTTATATAGCTGTTTCTGGTCTGAATTCCTGCAGAGAAATTAGTAGGCCAAATCGTGAATATCATACAGCCATGAAAGCAGTCATCAAAGTGGTCAAGTGTGACTTCCACGCCAGCATTCTCTAATCGTTTTGCGTACATCACCCCGTCATCTCTCAGGACGTCATTCTCACAAGTCAGGATGTAAGTCTTTGGCTGCAGCTGCAAAGTTTCATTTTCTGCAAGCAGTGGGACTGCTCGTACATCAAGCAGCGCTGGTATCTTCTGGATGATTTCAGCCTTGCCTGTAGTTTGTATTACAGGCTTGTAGTTCTTTTTGAACGATGAAGGCAGTAGAGATGTCCAGTTCAGACGTCCTCTGAAAGAGAGAGCTTGGCTTACATCAAGAGCAGTGTGATTGTTGATCAGCAGTGAGTGAGCCAAGTCATAGTTACCATTGAAATAGTCTATCCAATAGTTTATCATGACATAACGAGGAAGAACAGGCATATTCGTGTTCTGCTGATATGAAGGTGTGTTGAAGTCAAATGCCTGAAGGACTGGATAAATTAAGGCTTGCAGTTTCGGTCTGATGGTCACATGCTCATCTTTGCTAAGCTGCAGAAAGAAGAGAGGTCAGAATTGAGATTATAAAGAAAATCTGCATTACAGTATCAACCTTGGTATTTACAGAAGCAATCATTTGACAAATTTTAGGCCAAATTCTGCTCTGATACAACTCCACTGGCAGGTGTTGCTCTTCTGTCTGAAATATGAGCAACCTGACAGTTTTTTCTACTGTAAGGATGGCCATTTGGGACACGTCCGGTATCCCCTCTCCAATAGAAATCAGTGGTAGACGCTTACGGAAGAGTATAGGAACAGGAAGAGTGGAAGAGTCAGAGAACATTTTTTTCTCTTCAGCTTCTGCATAAGAGCTAGAGATCTCTCTGTTATAGCCAGTTTTGGCTGTCTCTTTCCGGCTGAAGATGCTTAGTTTATTTAATCTTTTCCTGAAACAATCCTATATCACTGATTTAAAAAGTATTATGCATCAGACAAAGAAATTAGGAATGCTGTTTCCAAAACACGGTTCTATCATGTTTATCAGTCCTCAAGATTGAAACTTTCAGTGTAATTGTTCCTTATTAATTTTTTCACACTAATTCAATATTGCAAGGTTGCCATGATAATTAGTTGCCTGCACATGATATCAGCTTTCTTATCACCAATGGTTAATGATGATATGAAAAAGCTAATAATAGTATTTCACTCAACCATGAAAATATTATTACTTGCCCCAGGCCACGTTTCAGATCTTTACTAGACTAAAATGAGACTACATTTAAACTAGAGATAAATGGAAGAACTTTCCTTAAAATTGCAAAATGCTATAGGAAGGCAATTTAACAGAAGAGTTAGTTTTGTTTATTATAATTTTTGTCCTCCATTTGTATTTGAAGGAAATAAGAACATACTTTTAAAGACAAGCATCTGCAAAAATAGGAAAATAAACTGATAAATTATGCATCTATGTATTATGCATCTAGTTACCGATACAGGCAAATACAGAATTCATCAGCACACAGGATTTAAACAAAAGTCATTTAGCTACTGACTTAAAATCTGGCCCATAACAACTCATAACTGCAGTAAGACATTGCAAAGCTACTTGATCCATGTATAACTGACTTACCTTTCTTCTGTAAAATATCTAGATGTTGGCTTTCAATAGCAAGCATTATGATTTTGTTTCAAGTTGGCACATGATGCAGCACCTTGTGATGATGCAGCACAAATAACCTGTCAACCTATATGCATCACTGAATTAGGGATTGTTGTCGTGTAATACATATCAGACACTGGATGTTACCTGCTGACACACAGCAGCCGCCAAATTTCCTCCTGCGCTGTCACCAGAAATTGCAACTCGACTTGGGTCAACGGAATATTGAGCTAAGACATCAGGATGCAAAAAATGCTTGGTAGCACGAAGAGCATCATGGAACTGCTCAGGGAAGCACACCTCTGGTACCAGCCTGTATCTACAAAAGAAGAGAAGAGGTGAGAGACAATCTTTACAATGAATATACCTCTCTATCAGGATTAATATACTACCAGATATAGCTTAATGATGACAAATAACTATTTCATTAGGATAAATGCTATGGGAAGAATATGAGATGTGTAAAGCCAATATAAGACTTAATCTTATAATCAACATTCTAATTCTGAAAGATTAATACTAACCAGCTAGATATGAATAACAGTGAGATAGTATAAAATTGTGCAGCACTTTCCTAGGATTTCCCAATAGAGGATTTCATCATGTTACAAAAAATGAATGAATATTTAAAACAACCTTGGCAAAGGAGTCATTACAATCAGCTTGTTTGCAATCCCAAATCCCCATCTTAACCAGCATGAGGGAGAGTAAGTCGTATATGCCCAGCAGATTCAACCGAGACATCATGTACCTAAGCAGTTCTGTGTTTCCCACATCTGTATGTACGCTCCGTAGAGGCTGAGCAATGGTACGCCTATAAACCATGAAAGGAGCAATAGCCAGGAACTGAAGTAATACTGATTTGCCCTAATGCAACACATTCAATAACTCTACTCCTTTATCAAGGAGACAAGCAGAAATATACCCCGTTCATAGGCAGAGAAACTGAAGAGCAGAGAGATACAACTGTCTGCCCAAGGACAGCCAGCAGCCAAGAACCACGTCTCCTGAGTCCCATTCACTAGACTTTTCCAGTTTCTAAATAACAGTGCAGGAGAAGTCAGTTCTTGTTTACTGAATCATACGTAACATAAGAGTTGTTACTGGGCGTCATGGTGCTAAGCATACCTTTCTGCTTGTGGCCTTTTATATTCCTAATAGACTTTTCATACTTTCAGCAGGGCCGATGACTAAGAATATTTTGACAAAATATTTTTTATTGCCAACTTGACAGAAAACAAATCTTTACATAGCTCATTTGAACTTGTTGGTTCAAATGAAGAAAGCTTTTGTCAATAATGTTTTATTTCCCATTATTCCTGAAGCAAAAGAAAATCCAGTTTTCTGGTTCAACTATTCTGTCTTTAGAAATCTAAGCTAACAGAATTCCATACACAAAATACATTTCAAACTTAAGCGAAATAACAAGTATTTCAAACTCTAAATCTGTCCTGCTTTCAGAAAGCAATCTATGCATAGTATCAGCTCCGAAGGAATATGAGACAGGCCTTTGGGAGCTCCTTGCAAAACTGCATTAACAGATTGTGTATAGATCCTGAAAGTGAGATGTACAATTAAACCAAGGAGAAATCAAATTAGACTTCACTAATTGAGTACAAAAGCCTTGACTGAGAGAGATAATGGCTAAGGAGAAGACACAAACAATAACAACTCTGAAAAACTGGTAGAACTGTACTGCCATAAACAAGAAACGGAATAATAAGGGACTTTTTGATATTGCGATCACTGCTTGTCTGGAATGGCCACCATCTGCTTTTTATCATTTCTACTGATAAACACCAAAGAAGTACAAAAAAACCCCTACCCCTTAAAGTATACTAGAATGAGTTTAGCAGCAGTTAACCTCAACTCCATATAATTAAGTTGTAATTTGATCACAGAACTTGGCACGTAATCAACTGTAAGTGGGAAACTTGAGTAGTTACATCAAGTGATTGCTTTTGTGAATTAAAAAATTAAAGTTGACAATAAGAATGAGGAAAGTATCAATCAAGTTGGAGTGATCCAGGTAATGTAGTTAGCTAGCTAAGAGGTTTTTTTTACCTTGGAATTGTTTAGCTAGTCAAAAAAAGCAGTCCAGTTTCTCTGCTGTCTGGCACCTCTTGTTGTCCTCTGCTCTTGAGTAGAGTACATGGGTCAAATTAGATTACACAGGTTAAATTCACTGGAATAGCATGGGATTGAGAGAACAGCAGGAAACTGATACACTCCACTGTATATATTGGTTAAGGAGCAGTAGTAAAATCACTTGCTAATTTCTATGTTGCAGACCCTTCCTCAATATGACTTACAAACTCTGGTTTATAGACAGACTTGAGGTATTTTATATTTAATATACCTTGCAGCAGTGGGAGTGGCCACTGAGGTGGGTAAAAGTCTCTCTTGCTGCATGGGGAGATTAAGACAGATGTAGTTCAGCCTTCTTTCAGGTATGTATAATGTCCAAGTGCATATATGTTTTTTTAAGTTGATAAGTATTTACAGAATCATAAGTCACTTGAGTAATCTCAGGTTTTAGTTGCACTCCTTGTATGTAGCCACATTTGCAAGAGCACTAACATTTGCATTTTAGCATTTGTCCAAATGATTAAAGTGCTACTCTCTTTTTCCACGTTTCTGCCTTCTAAAATGACCTCTACAATAACAAGATATCCAAATCAGCTTTTGATACCATTTTAATTTGTTGTCATTTTAGAGGATAAAAATAAAAAATAATAAAAATACCAATAAAAATTGGTAAAGAAAATTATTTTTGAAGTTAAAACCTTATATACAAGTCAGTAGCAAGGGAAAAAGGCAAACAGCTAAAAGAACTAAATTACAGCTGTCTAAATACCTTAGAATTGCTTATCAATGTTAAATTACTCACTCAACTGAGACAACTACAGCATTGAGAGACTCAGCCATAATTCTGCAGAGATTGTTATAAAGGCTTGTTCCTGGAATGAAACGACACAGCGTTAATGACATATGAGTCCATTTATGTCAGTATTTCACAAAGCATTCTCAGAAAATATAAATACATCATACAAATATAAGCAAAGTAAATGAGGCCAGCTTGCAATCAAGTTCCAAATACATACTCTAGTAGAAGGAACATAATTCTTGCCTTGAGAAGTCCCGAAGTCCTGTAGTTTTAATACTTTCTTTCTCATGTGCTTCTCAGTGACTTGGGGCATGCCATTTCATCCACCTATTACAGTTCTCTCACTTGGGCAAAACTTAAGCTAGCCAGTGGCCTTGGGGCATTAATATCCAGATGCTGTTATTGTATGAGCCACTACATGTTGTTCATTTTGTTATAGCACGTAAATTGGACCCAAATTGCTTTGATTCAAATGAGTTGCCCTATTAACGTCAACTGAACTACTCATTTAAGGGACAATTAATCACAGTTATCCTATTTATCAGGGGACTGATTTTCTGCAATTTTATTCCTTTCCAGTTACTTAATTGTCGTTTCCTGGTACTATCGAATACAGTATGGCATTAAACATTTTCTAAAGTATCTGTAGTCCTAGAATTTATTATTTAGCAGTAACATTTTTGCCATTAACTTTTGTATCTTGGAACTGAGGGTAGTATCTGACATAGCTGAATTAGTCATCTAAACAAAGCACAGTAATCTAAACTTTTTGCAGAGCTACAGTCTTATGCAGATTATTACAGAACAAATGAAGTTTGTAAATAAACGAAGGGCAGAATTCTAGCAAACATCCCTTAGGCAGGTCTAAGAAAATCCATCTCGAAGCCCAATCTTAATTCCTCTGAAGGAAGAGGACGACAGGCAAAATTTCTAATTGCTATTTAGCAGCTATAGGACAAAGAGACTGAGATCTCCAAAGGCACCTGAAGGCCAGATTTTAAAGGTATTTAGGAACCTAAATCTCACTTAAATCATGGTCTAAGGGACTTAAACATGCATAGTCCAACTGCAATCACTGGGGATTTTGTTCTTAAAATATTTCAGGATGTTCTTTCTCTACAGACGAGGCCACAGATACTTCAGAATACAACTGTGCTGTACTGCCTTCGTGATGTGTCAGGAGCAACGTGGAAGGAAAAGGGGCAAGTCTCCCATTTGGTCGCAATCTTGAGACAGCCATGAGAACTGCACACCCTTTCTCTTCCTAAGACTTTTCTCATTCTGCACAATGTGGAAGGATCGATAGCTATCTTACTCTCTATAGCTATAAATTACTTTCTCTGATTATGTTTGTGGCTTCTAAATGAATTCTGTCATAAATAGCATTCATTTCCAAGGTAATTTCTGCAAGTGACTGGAGTAGTTCCCGAAGGGAGCAGGCTAGACAATGATTGGTATCCACCTCTACCAGTCTCCTTCATCCTGCTGCCCCTATTTTCTGTAATCAGCAGCATGCATTCCCAAATAAATTGTTATTTAGGAGCTGAACATTAGCAATGCTGTTACAGGCAATTCTGAACAAATGCAGCTGGGAATTATCCTGGGAATTATTACGTGAAAATGGGGCAAAACCCTACACAGTCACTGGTTCTTGATTACCAAGGAACAATATTTGCATACTACCATAGCACTTATTGTAGACAATGGGGACTGGGCCATACGGCACTTTCATCCACAAGTCACAGCAATGAAAATTTTTAGTCCACTCAGGATATATTGAAAATAAGCTTTCGGTCCTTTTACAGCTCACATCCTGATGAGATATGCATTTCTAGTGTGTGCTGTGATTTTTTTTTCCCCTCCCTCCTTGCATTTGATCTGCTGCAGTGGAGACAGTTACTACTGCATTCAGAAATGTCTTAGCAAAACTGTCATCCCTAGCAGGGAAAACAGCTTTTTGTTTCTCCTGCTGTGAAGAAAACAGACCTGCATTCTATTTAATTACTGACAGACACATACTTGCACTTGCCAAGGCCCAGCCTCCTCCGTGGATATAAACAACACTGCGCTTTAGTGTTTCATCTTGCTTTGCAGGAGGTTCAAACACTCTGACTTCCACACCATCAAAAACAGCATCCGTTATGTTAATGTGTTCAGAAGATACAGACTTCAGCTTGTCAAAAGTACCAATCAAATAATTCAGAACTATCAAGTGATGGCTCAGTCTCAGATAGTGAATCAGGTGGCACTAGGAGAAGGAAAAAAAAAAAGAAAAGAAAAGAAAAAGAAGAGATTTGTGTTACTTTAGAGCATATCGCACATTACTGCATTGATGTTTAATGCAACAGTTTTCAAAAGGCAGTGCCTGTACAAAAATGAGTATGGATTCTTAGAACAGTCACCAGAAAATGAATACGATTATCAAAGACTTCTAACGCTTTTAAAGTTGTATTAAAACAAAACCCTGTCCATAACAGATTCTCTCTTGTCATACTAAATCAGATCATGAGCATTATGTGGATCAAGACAGCTCTGAAGGAGAATTCAGATCTTTCCTCTTGAAAGACACCTCTGGAAGGAGACGACAGTCACCAGTGGCTTCTGCTGTTGCACTTCAGAAATTTCTCAGAACATTTCCAGTAGAGGGCAGCGATACACAGTCATTTTTACGTGATCACAACACAAAAACAAATGGGATCATTCCTTGAGCTCACTTATTCGGTGCCTGCCTCAGTTTACTTTTATCTAAATTGGTTAGAGCAACACTTTCCTCAAGGGAGCAATGACTGCGAGGTATTAATCGTGTTTAAGAAGCTCTAAAATTCTTGTGGTGCGGAAGGTATCATAAATGCAAGGCATTTCTCTTGTTCTACCCCAAAGTATAACTCTTTCCACTTCCAGATTAGGAAAGTTCTTGATAACTGCCAAGAAATATGAAGATAGGAATGGTCTCAGAGGAATATACTCCTTGTTTATTGGCTTGTTCTGCATTTCCCCACAGAATCAGAAAGGATCTAAGATGATATCCAAGAGGCACAGGAGGTTAGTGATTTTTTTTCCAACCCCAGAGACTAAAAAGGGGTTGCTTTATGTGCGTGCGTGTAACACCGAAAACGAGGAAAGACCTATCTTTCTATCACTTTATGATAGAAAGTGGAATACTTTATCCCCTTCTACTATCCAGGGTGTTTCGTTGGTTTTTTTTTTGTTTTTAAAAAACTTTGTTTTATGTAGATGAAAATATGTTTCCAGTAGGAGCAAGGGCATCCCTTCAGCCTCAATGGTCATGGTCCACTCCCCGTGCATGACTTGTACACTAATTATGACTATTTGTTCCCATTCCCTAGATGGTCCGAAAGGGGTTGCAAAAGGTCTGCCAGAGGGTCACTGGGACTACAGTGTTGAGAATGGCCATGAAAAAAAGACGTAGGGGTCTTTCCCCCATTTGCAAAGTTAATCTCTGTCCTGCTGAGGAAGGCTAGAAATTGGGCGATCAGCTAAGCCTTCTGTGAAACTTTCTGGGTCAAGGCAACGGAGCTGGAAGGTAAAATAATTTATTCCCGCTATTGCAGTGCAAACCTGCTAGTATGAATTAAAGATGCCAGAGACAGAGAGGGCATCCAGATACTGGTCTAACTGCACCCACATTGCAAAGAAAAGATAGCTGCCATCGTCTGACCTGTACAAAACCTGAGTGGAAGCCAAGTCTTATGGAAGAGCACGACGTGCAGGTTCCTTAGTGACATATATATTTTATAAATTTATATCCACATTTTGGATATAAGAATGTTACAGTCTTTCTGGTTTGTGTTACCTTTTCTTAGGCATAGCTATTTCATTTTCTTTTTCTCACTTTGTCTGCCATACTTCTGCACTGTCGTTTTCCACAGTCACTTTCTAGTGCTAAGTTTCAGCTTCTCTACTAGGACAGTTTTCTAACAGATAAGGAACAGCTAACAGAGGCACAGCACTCCCATGGATAAACCTCTCCCCCCCCTGCCCCCAGAGGGAAAGCAAATTGAAATGTGAAGCACTTCCTCGCTGCTGATTGAGAGACTTTCTGCATTCTGCAATATCCATGCCAGAAATATTTCCTTAGCTCTATAGCCCTAGTTTCTTACACGCAGCACTTTACTCTGTCATAATTTGTTTAAATGTAAAAAAAAAAAAAAAAAGAAACATTAGCTTTCAGTCAGGTGCTAGTATTCAAAAAAAGGCTTGTACAGCCCCACTTCCACTGCAGGCTTATGTGGAAACAGACACACTTTGACACTTTCCTAAAAGTTTTGTGAATGCCAAGTACAATAGCGGGGAGAGGAATGCACTTCCAAAACATGGAGAATTTACAAAAATGACTGTCCTTTCCCACTTAGCTTGTGGTAATGTCACCCTGTTGAGACAGCCTGGTGGGAATCCAAGTTTTAAAATGTTTGCTACTTTATGGATTAAATACCATTTCTTCATACTCCCTGTATGAAGAAATGTCTTTCCCTGTAAGCAAAATACAGAAAATATCCAGCCAGCACCAAGGAAAGATGAATTCACAAGACAGTTTGTATCTTTGTTTTTCAGATCATGCTTTTCTCTCCTGGTTCTTTAAAAATTTCCATAGGAAAACCCAGTTCAAGCTTGAAAACAGGAGGTGCTCAAACATTTCATATTAGCAGGGAAAAAAAAGCAAAGATGTGCAGATAAAGAGAAATGCTCCAAGTTTTTTAAAATCTTTACATTTTAAAAAGAGCAATACATCTATTAATAGTTTGTCTCTGAATCTATTGGCTTGCCACTGATTGACCCAGCTAAAGATCTGGTCCTTCGCGTGTCCTTGGGAAGTGCTCAGGGAAGATAACCACTCAGATTCAATTGCAGAAATACTGCCAGGAAAAACAGTGGTTTTGCGAGATTTTGCAGCCTGACTCTGTGCTGCAACAGCCAGTCCATGCTCATTTTCTCCCACTTTGGCTCACATGCTTAATGGACAGGATTACCACATGTTCCCTGGAATCAAATGTTTTCGTTTCAAGGCTAGTTACTGTTGTTTACTGAGATGTGTTTTGCCCTGTTTTTTTAAACAGCAGAGCAGAGTGGCCATCTGCAGGCTTATCACATGCTTTCCCCCTCCCCCCCCCCAAAATGGGCCACCCTTTCCAAGAATCAAAAGGCTGGTTTGAGACCACCCTTTCCAGGAGTCACAAAACACCTAGGAAGAGATGTCTTGTACACCAGGGCACAACAGGAACAGAACTAGTATTTGTTAGCTCCGGGCAATTTTTTTTGCCAAGCACATATCAACCAGATTCCTTGGAAGTATATCTAATCTGCATATCTTATCATTTATTAGGCATCAGAATTTTACTTTCTACTGGTAAAGAGTCAGCCTTGTCCGAAGGTCTTGGAAGTAAAATAACCACCGTGCCCTGTTATCTGGCTACTGGCAGCAGAGCATGTGTTTAATGGTTGGCTGGAGCTTATCTAGGACGGTGTTGCCACCAAAGGGGCAGGTCTGCCTGACCTCTGCTGCTGACTGTGCTTCCCTGACACCTTTTTTTCGGTGGCACTAACGAACATGAAGCCTCCGTATGAGCTCCCTGACTCAGCTGAAAATGACCTCAGTGAAAACACTGAAAACCAAACTTCAGCCAGGTTACCGTGCTGCTGATGACTCAAGGAAGGAAAGAGGGAGCAGGGAAAAGGATGGGACCAGCCCTTTTGGCAGCAGTCCACAGCTGGGTTGGATCAAGTCAGTTATAAAATCCGTACCCAGACACGACATGCAAGCAACAACTACTTTGATCTTGGCTGGTATTCATGATTTTACACGATTTTTTTTTCCTTCTTGTGACACAATACAGGACTGTTGTAGGCTATCAAATACTGAAGTTACATGAATGGTAGTTTATGCGTGCTTGCATGCGCAGGAGATGAAAGTGATATTCTATGGCAAAAAGATAGCATTGTAATAATAAAAGATAGTGAAAAGGAAGAGAAAGCATGAGGAAAAGGGGGAAGTTATGAAGTTAAGGGACTGCAGAAAAAGTAAAGACAAATTCACAGAAGAAAAGGAGACAGTATAAAGATCAAAGCTCTGTCCACACTTCACCCAAAATTCCTCTGCCAGCCACAGGTAGAGAACGTAGTTCAGTTTGGGCCAATCCTGCAAGTTTTCCCTTGTAACAACTGCGCTTTTATGCATCAGTCTGAAAGAAAATATTTTTGTTTTCTAAATAGAGAGCTCTGGGGAAATATGGTCAGTGAACTTCACTGCATTAACGGGCTGGATGAAGCGAGGTGGCGCTGGATGAGCCAGAGGATCCAGGCACAGGAGGACTAGCCAGAAGAGGGAGGCAAATGTGACTTCACCTTTAATCATCAGTATCTGTCCCTAAATTGTCACGATTCTTCTGTTGGCTGGTAATCATATAAAGAACACCAATGCGCGCTGCTCCTATGCTTACCTCCTACACGGACCCGTACTCAGTCACATCGTCTATGCTAGAAAAAAAAATATCTAAAAGTGTATTTCTTTTGCTGATTTCTATTAATCTCTAACAGTACTCAGCACATTTGGGAGTCTTTGTCCTCATGTGACTCCCATAGCGGGCACTATCCGAAGTGCCACATAAACTGTCCCACTTCACATATCTGTGACCTTTAGCCACAAAATTCTTGCAACAGGTTGCGTTCAGCCGGTACACAAAGGCAGCATGCTCTAAAGGCGAGCGGGACACATCAGCTGCTTCCTTTGCTGCCTTTCCAGCCGGTCAGCCTCAAGGCTCTGCACTGACCTTCCAGGCCTTAGATAGCATAGGGAATTAAGCAAACAGCTAACGCTCTCCTTCACCTACAACGTTATTCAGGACTGAGCCAAGTCCCTCAAATGAGTAAAGTCTTTGAAACTTGGCGACTGAACCTTCTGAAACTAACTTCCTTTCTTAAAAGGGGATGTAGGTACTCCCGAGTGCCACTGTCTTCAGCTCTGGCATCACTTTGTAAAATGCATTTGTTGAACATGAGAGTCCAAAATGCCAACTGCAATATCTTTGTCATTAACAGAGACTGACTAAAAATAAACAGGAGCATCTCCCCATTTAGCTGCATGCAGACTATTTTGTTTTGACTGCATTTCAAACAGTTTATCAAGTTGAAAGGTTAATCTCTCACTTTACAGTACTATTTCTTAATGCAAGTGCATTACTGCATAGTACAGAGTATGTTAACATGCATAGTTAACATGCTATTCCTCTAGGA